CAAACAAACAAAACAGAAAAAAATAGTTTCAGGTCTTTCTGCTGAGCTTTATGTATGTTTCCCGATCAAGTCTGATGAGGTGTCAAACCCTGTCCCCCAAGTCAGAAGTCTATTTTCAGGATTCCTGAAGACTTGGTTACTCTGCTCCCCTTGCTGCCCTGTTGCACCCCCTCTGCTTTTCACCCGCTGTGCATGGGGCCACCTGGGATGTCTCCAGTGCTGTGCCCTGTAGTCCTATGGGTCAGTGAGGAGTGCCGTGCCTCCTGGTGGCGTTCTAACTTCCTAAGCTCTACCCAGAATTGTGTCGGAGCAGTTGCTGGTTGGTTCCTTTCTTAGAGGTGACCCTGGGTTTCTCCATTTTCTCTTCCCACAGAGGTAGTCCATCCGATTCCCGTATCTTCCATCTGGTGAAGTCTGAGTGTATGACTGCTGAGTTGGTGGTTACGGGAGGTATTTGCAATGAAGAAATCATTGGTCTTGTAAAGTTCTTTCTTGAGATTTCCAGCATTGTTTCTATCATCAAGGCCAGTATTTCCCCAACGACTGCTCCTTCCTTTCCGTTTTCAACTTTTCATTCCAATCACCAGTCATCGATGCATCTGGATTGGTGCCCGTTTGTCCAAATTCAGACTGAAGGCATGTGTCGAACTCTTCAGTTTCCTCAACACTGGCTTTCGTGCTTGGTGCATAAATTTGGATCTTAGTTGTATTAAATTCCTTGTAGGCATATAGCTATCATCCTAGCATATACGACATTGTACTCACGATAGACCAGAAAGTGTTCTTTTGACAATAAATGCCACCTTTTTGAATTTGTCATTCCCTACATAGTAAACTATTATGATTGTCCAGCTCAAAGTGGCCAGTATCAGTCCATTTCAACTAATTTCTATGTATAGATCTTTGTGTTCCACTTTGAAAAGCGAACATACAGAGAAACGCAACTCTAGCTGCATTGGCCTCCTGTACTTTATTACTCTACCTATTTCCATATTATGAAAATGGGCAATTTATGACATCTTCTATTACTAGTACACAAGAAAACCACATGGTGGCTATTTTAAAAACTACATGGGTTTGGAACTTGAGTTCCTGTGATTTTTGCCTTCTTTTCTGCACCCTGACTTCCACCTATCTCTTTACCAGTATCATTTGCCTTCCAGTCGATTCGGACCCACGAGGACCCAATGAGTGTCAGAGTGCCATTAAGTTCCCAAAGCAGATGGACAGGCTTTTCTTCCAAGGCTCCTGGAGACGGGCTCTAACTTCCCATTAGCAGCGGTGCTTCTTAACCTTTTGCAACACCCGGGGATCTCACACCCTTAGGTTGAACACGAGCCCACAGACCTGGGCTGCAATACCACACGTTACCAGTAGATGCCGCAGTCCTATCAACCGACAACCAACTTTTCAGAACGACTGCCCACAATGCAACCAGCAACCATTTACTTAAGGAGTGCCAACTGTTTACTGCACCACAGCACCATGCTTGGTGCTTCAGGTCAACCCTGCTCATCTGTGAAATTCGCTCCCTACCATGAGGAGAGAATGAATTAAATCATATCGAATGCTTTGGGCAGTGACTCGATTGTAGTATTAAAAGTATTACTTGCCCAAGATGAGCTGAAAGAGGACTAGTGGGCTGTTAACCACAAGGTCAGTGGTTCAAACCCATCAGCTGGTCTGTCTGCTCCTGTAAAGTCTCGGGAACCCAAAGGGGCAGTTCTGCCCTGTTCTGTAAGTAGGACTTGGCTCGATGGTGCAGTGACATCTTTGGTTTTGGATAAGGTGAACTCTGGCACTTCGCTGTCCCTCACGCACTGGACTGCCCTGCAGCTGCACTCCGAGTCTGAGCAGTTTGAGCCCGCTCTGTCACCTGCCACCAAGCTCCCCAAGAAGACGAGGCTTTCTGCTCCTGTAAAGTGCTACAGTCTCAGAAACCCGCCTAGAGGGTCCCAACGAGTCAGAATCGACTGGATCACAGTTTGTTGTTTAACCACCGAGCTGAGCTATGCCTGCCCAGCCCCCCAGCTGGAATCGGGAGGTGGGTCCTCTTCCGCCCGGTCAGGGTGGGTGTTGCAGCAGGCATGGCCCCATTAATGGCTTTTGGTGAGAACGTGCAAGGCAGGGAGGTGGCACGCGTGAGGAGCAAGAGGTTGCACTCCTAGGCTCCACACGACAAAGTTTCCTCTGTGGACCTCCGGCCGGCGCCACCCGTCCTGGGGACTTGGGTCGCGCGCTTAGCCCGCACTTTCCCGCCACAGGCCGCGGCCCCGCCCGGCAGCAGGTTATCCTTGTCCGGAGCCCGCAAGACCGCAGGGGACGGGCGTCCGAGGGGTCAGAGTCGCGGATCCCCCGCGCCAGGTGGCACCAGGGGCGG